CCTGAAAATCCATGAAATGGTTTGTGCGGAGTAGTATTTTAGATTGCAATTGCTGTTAATTTTGTCTTTGTTAAATAAAATATAATAAAATACATTATTTTTTTAGTCTCTAAAACTGAAACTTATTGTGAATGTGTTTTGGATATATTAGTATATAATACCATAGCTTCTATTGTATCTTGCCCTATTTTCCCCCTACTGATTTGTTATTCCTACTCACTGTGCTGCCTCTGAAATTTTGATTGTAGAATTATTGGAGCAGAACTGCAGCCCAATACTTGTATAGCGTGGTCTGGAGAGATGCCTAATAAATAGAATTCTGTTCTCGTGGGGTGCGTGCCTTCCCTCTGATTTCTGCATAGTGCTTCTCATAATTTACAAACTAAATTGTATGATGAATTAAATTTGAAGTAAAAATAAGGATTACAGTTCTGTCTATAACAGGGATTGTTAGTCTGTATGACTAAACATTGGTAAGCCTGGATTTTTTTTTTGTGTAGATGTAATAAAAAGGTTTTTTTAAACATTTGAGTATGTTAAAACATTAATGCTCAAATATTGATTGTTTCTGTTAAATATATGATCAAATAGATTTTTTTTTTTTTATGAATTACTGAGGGTTTTCTTTTAACTTTTCAAAGTTGTACTTGACACATGTGGAAGTTGGTTTTGAGGCCTTCTTGTTACTTTATTACTTTTTAATAAGACTTTGTATTCCTTAATAAAAACATCTTAGGCTAATGGTTCTGTTCCTGAACTGCTAAGCTCTTGATCCTGCATCCTACCTTTATAAATACTGGCTTAGCAATTAATGGGCATGCACTTTTTTGTGCTCGCACTCATACCACATTGATAGTCCTACTCATAAATTAATGGTTAACAAAAGCAGTTATTTCTGAAAATTTGAGCATGTATTCTTTCTCAATTAAAGTGAACATATGAGAAGTCTTGGATAATTAATAGGTAACAGGCAGTACTTGCCTTATAGCCTTAATTTGTAATAATTGGTTATATGAAGGTATACTCTGAGTGATATGTAGTCTTGCTGTGTGACAGTGTTTTTTATAATTAGTACTACTAAATATGAAGTGGACATTTCTGTAAAATCTAAATGATGCCAAATATAGTATAGCCAAGCGGTGGTGTAACTTATACCTAAGTTTCATGTTAGTTCTTGGATATCAGTTCAATAGAAGAATAATTTTGCTTCAAAAAAAAAAAAGTACTATAAATACTTCAGAAATGCATAAAATCCCTTAGTTTAAATTTACTTTCTCTTTTCCTCTTTAAAAATTACGCTTTTTCAGGGTTATCTTTTCAAGGCTATGCAACAGATAATGCTTGTATGCCCATGATAATTCCTACCCCAGCCACGCTCAGCCTTCCACCACCTTTAAAGACAGGACAAAATAACAGAAAGTCACACAGATTTTAATAAGCTAAACTGTGTCTGAAACCCCCATTAAAATTCTTTCTTAAATTCCCTTTCACGTTATTTCTATGTACCACAGCATAGGTAAAATTTGAATTCTGTATTTAATTGTTTTGAAACTTTGATGTAGAATATCTAACAGATTTTTTAGCACTTATTGGTTCATTGCATATCTTCTTTATAAATGTTATTCTGTAGATTATAAGAGTCTCTGAGGAATGTAGCGGTGGTAATTAAAAAAAAAAAGGTAGCAAAAGGATGTTGTCAATCAGTATGTAAGCAAATGTTCTTACATATGTATGCGAAATATAGAGGAGTAGGTGCATGGACTACAGAGAATTACCGTTCTCTAAATGTAAGGGATTTTATGCGTTTCTGGAGTACTTATGGTACTTCTCACTAACTACACAGGTGATGTAAGTTACTGAGAGGTTTTGATGACTAAGAAAGCTAGCAATCCTACAGATAGAAATGGCTGCCACTGTTAATGTTGTTAAATTTTTTTTTTAGTGTTGCACTTATAAACTACTAAATAATTTACTGATGATGTTCAGGAGAGCTTGCTGACTGTTAATGTTGTCATGTGTTGTCATGTATGCAATAGGAAATGTTGATTGCATTATATTTTTTAAATGTCTTGTGTTTTTTAGGCCTAAGGACTGTCTCCGTTCTATTATGAAGAGAGTGAACCATAAAGATCCCCATGTTGCTATGCAAGCATTAACAGTAGGTTCTCTTTAATGTAGTGCTTCTCATTCCTGAAAAGTTATATTGCAAAACGTCTTCTGAGTTTTAATCTTTCTTTCTTTAGCTTCTAGGAGCATGTGTATCAAACTGTGGTAAAATCTTTCATTTAGAAGTCTGTTCAAGAGATTTTGCCAGTGAAGTAAGCAATGTGTTGAATAAGGTAATGTATTGCATTGATTTATACAATTCATAAAAAAGCTAAATCGGACAGAGGATTGGGGTAATCTGAAAGTGGAATGGAATCTACTTTTGGAAGACTGGAAATTCGGTGGTGGTGGGAAGGATACAAAATTACTGGGAAGACTCTGGCTGTAAGAAAGAGCTTCCTGAATGCCATTTCACACTACAGTTATTTATGTATTCTGTTCAAGGGAGGTGGGGTGTTAATTTATAAATATACAAATTAATTTTCATGTGTAAATAACAGCAATGAAACACTAAATACGGATGTGGTGAAATGGAGATAATACAGGGCTTTTACATAACCTTGGTTTACTCTATTTTGGGCCTCATACGTATTGTACTATTCTCCCTTTCTAATAAAGATATACCTTAGCTTGACTTCAAAATAAAGCGTCTATATAATTTATATCGGCAGTAACGTGAAATTATTTGAAATTAAGGAATTGAGAACAGATTCCTACATTATTTAACTAGTTTTAACTAGTTTCTACTGTGCTTGCAGGGTCATCCAAAAGTTTGTGAAAAGCTGAAAGCCCTTATGGTAGAGTGGACTGATGAATTCAAGAATGATCCACAGCTTAGTTTAATATCTGCTATGATAAAAAATCTTAAGGAGCAAGGAGTTACTTTCCCAGCTATTGGTTCACAGGTATATGAATTTTTGTGGTTGTTCTTAAAGGGTGTCACAAATTGTTTTTATCCTCAGTTCTGTATTTTACAGTTTGTAGTCTTGAATTCTATAATGTGTTTGGCAAACAAAATGAAATCTCTCTTGTCTTAATAAAACATTCCTCTGAGGCGTGGAATGCTCTGATTTACTTTAGATTTTTATATTGCAGATGAATACAAATCAAAATGGTGAACTTAATGCATTGTCAGTTTTCTGTTGAATTCATTTTTACATCTTTCACTTTTGGCTAGGCTGCTGAACAGGCCAAAGCAAGTCCAGCTCTAGTTGCCAAAGATCCTGGTACAGTAGCCAACAAAAAGGAAGAGGAGGATTTAGCTAAAGGTGAGTGCATTTACTTGCTGACCTGATATTTGATATTGGTAAATATCAAATAAAGCAGGAATAAATGTTTTGTTTTCTTACTCTATGTGAATAGTATATTTATGGATTGTGGTTATGATTTCTATTCCTTTCTTTTTGTACCCTTCCTGGAGGTTTAGAGATTAAAACTATTCTACGGGTAAAAAAAATGAAAAATTCCTGTCTTTTACTTTTTTTTTTCCTTGCCAAACTGAAACAACACAGTGAAAAATCTGCAAAATCTCATGTTAAGGACATGCTTCACTATGGAAATGTTTGATACAAGTTGTGCACTTAGATTTTCGTGCAATTTAAACGTTTGATGGAAGGAGAAAATAAGGATTACAGTGTAAGTTGTATGCAAAGTTGGATTCAGTATTTTGGGTGTAACTTTGTATTACTTTAAACTTTTATTCCTTTGAATACTGCTTCTGTAGTCTGCTTACAGCAATCAAAGCCTTAAAGTGTAAGTGGCTGTTGTCCCAGTAAACAAAACTAGGACGGTTTCTTTTGATTTACTGTTGTACTAAGGTATATTTAAAGGTAACTCAATGATCCTCTACCAGATGTGTGAAGCATTACTTTTAGAGTGGTTTGATCTTTATGGTCTATATACTGTTTTTTGAGGTCAAACTTCAGCAATGTAAAGACAGGCAATGTTAGCCCTTGTATGTAGCATGGCTTTGGACTGAAAGTTGTGACATCGTATGAATGAATTTCTTGTGCTAGTAGTTAGTGGATGTTTGCAGTTTCTCATCTTTGATAGAAATTTTTTTTGTGTAGCTGTTACCTAATACAACATTGATTTATTTAAATCACCACTAGCCCATCTGTATATGTTACTAATGTTTTTTTCAGCAGTTGACCCACCAAAGTCTACTTTTCAAGGGATTTGTGTGTCAAAAGTTCAGATTCTTCATGGGTTCTCTGATGTTTGTTCTCTTGTTTTTTGTGTCCTGCTCTGTCCCTTCTTAAATGTGATCATTTTTTTCACAAACTTGGAGGAGTTTAACATGAGTGAAAGCTTTCTACTCAGTCAAGTTTAATTGAAAATGACCAAGAAATGTAAAATTATTCAAGGAATGATAGGGAGAGAACAGGAATGGATGGAATTTTCCTTGTCTAAGCAAAAATCTTTTTCGTAATTATGGGTTAAGGAGGCACTTATGTACTGTGAGGGTGACTGAGCTCTGGCGCAGGTTGCCCAGGGAGGTTGTGGAGTCTCCATCCTTGGAGGTATGTCCAGATGGCTTTTGAATAGTTCTGGGCAGCCAGTTCTAGGTGACCCTGCTTGAGCAGGGTATTGGACAAGATGACCTCCAGAGGTGTCTTCCAACCTCAACCAATCTCTGATTCTGTGATTCTGTGAATTCAGGCTAAAGACTCCTGATCTAACAGAGAAACAACATGTACCTGAACAGCTGTATCTTTTTAATGTTTCAAGCGATCTGGAAAAGTTGAACATCATGGATATGCTAGTGTCGTGGTTTAGCCCCAGCCAGCAACTAAGCACCACGCAGCCGCTTGCTCACTCCCCCTGCCCCGATGGGATGGGGGAGAGAATCGGAGGAGTAAGAGTGAGAAACACTCCTGGGGTGAGATAAGAACAGTTTAATAGTTGAAATAAAGTAAAATAGTAATGATAATAGCAACAATAAAATAATGATAATAATATACAAAGCAAGTGATGCACAATGCAAGTGCCCCCCACCTGCCGACCAATACCCAGACAGTTCCCGAGCAGCGATCGCTGCTCCCCGGCCAACCCCCCCCAGTTTATATACTGAGCATGATGTCATGTGGTATGGAATAGCCCTTTGGTCAGTTTGGATCAACTATTCTGGCTGTGCCCCCTCCCAGTTTCTTGTGCGCCTGGCAGAGCATGGGAAGCTGAAAAGTCCTTGACTAGCATAAGCAGTACTCAGCAACAACTAAAACATCAGAGTGTTATCAACATTCTTCTCCTACTAAATCCAAAACACAGCACTATGCCTGCTACTAGGAAGAAAATTAACTCTAATCCAGCTGAAACCAGGACAGCTAGTAAGAATGTAAATAGTTTACATCAGTTCAAGATAATCACAATAATATAATAATAAAAAATGGATGACTTCACTGAATTATCCAGTTTGTGCTTAAGTGCTATTTATTCATCCTGTCCATGTTGAAAGCCTCAATAAATCTATAGTCAGAATTGTGCTCTTTAGTTGTAGAACATCTTTTTGGTTTTTACCATTATTTCTAAGTGAAAGGCAGAAGTTGATTATGATGCCACAGGAATGGAATTATACTAAAAGTTTTTGCAGAGTTAAGTTTTCGTATCATTCAACCCATTTTTATAGGGAATTTTCATGTGAGTAACTCTTCTTTTGTAGCTATTGAACTGTCACTAAAAGAACAAAGGCAACAGCAAACAACGCTTTCCAGTTTGTATCCGAGCACTTCAAGCCTTTTAACAAATCACAAACACGAGGGCCGAAAGGTTCGTGCAATCTATGACTTTGAGGCTGCTGAAGACAACGAATTAACTTTTAAAGCTGGAGAACTTATAACTATCCTTGATGACAGGTAATTTATATAGAATGCCTACTAGAAGTATATTAGACTGTAAAATTCAATTGAGAATAGTTGTATCTTCTATGTAAAAGCATACATTGGAATACAACTGCAATAAAATATATTTACATATTAAATACTTTATTTAGTTATCTCCTAGATTTTTTACATACAAATGTAATTGCATAAAGATTCTTGTATAAAGATTTCTGCGTATATGCAAATTGTATTTATGTACAAGTAACATAAATTTTAAATGCCTTGTACAGTGCAATTCTTAGGAAAATTCCATGTGAGGATGGGTTGTTAATGTATGGGGTGTTTAATTATTTTTTTATCTTTAGCGATCCAAATTGGTGGAAAGGTGAAACTCATCAGGGTATAGGATTGTTTCCATCTAATTTTGTAACAGCTGATCTTTCTGCTGAGCCAGAAATGAGTAAGTAACACTACATTTTTGTATACATGTTAAGCCTTGCCACGGCCCAAGGGATATTTCTGTAGTGATGTACTTTCCCTATTCCCTTTCCCTTATGATAGAGTTCAGTTGCAAGTTAATGTGATACTCGAAGTAAAACTCAGGAGCCCTTGCTGTGCTCTCAAAAACAAGAGTCATATCTTTGTGTCAGACCAAGGTTGCCCAAGCTGGCATCTGCTGAAAAATATGATGCTGTCTACTGCTGACTTTGTCAGTAGCTACCTTGAGATTCATAGAACAACTCCATTGACACCTAGATAAATGTAGGCAGCAGCAGGTTTTTTTCCAAGTTGCCTTTTTGCCTGGTTGCAATGGTACATATCTAATCAAGGAAAAACTGGAGGCCCCTGGCCAGATGGGAGTCAGAGACAGATTACCACTGTTCAAACAATTCAAGAAACCTACGTACTGTAGGTATGTATGTGTGCATAATGGAAAGAATTTTTTTTCTGCACACTGGTTATCTTCTTATATCTATTTATATCAGTCTAACATCTCTAAATATTTGTTAAAAATATTAAATTTTAAACAAGGTTTTAAGATGCTAGAACTGATTTCTTTAAATCTGAGGGGTTTGCAAGATGAATCTCCTGTAATCTCAATGTGAGTGTGCCAAAGCTATGAGTGGGTCAGCAGAATGGCACACTGTAGGAGTCATCTGTTCTATGTTAAGACTAACTGATACAAGTAGTATGATAAGAGTAGTGTTTGGCAGCTTTTTTGTTGTGGCCTCCACTACAGAGGAGTGAGATGCTTTTGCAGGTACTGCTTGGTGGAGAGGGAATAGCAAAATTTGAGAACTTTCCATTCTATGCTTGGCTCTGGAGAAAAGAAGGCTCCAGTTTGTCATATGTGATTTTACCAGTTTTCTCTTAAACCTGACTCATTAGCCCTATTTCTTCCAATCACTCTCTCTTAGTCTGTTTTCCTAATGGCTTATGAATAAGTATGTTACGTGCAGGGAAACTATGATAAAGACATTTACTTGCTAAAACATGTTTTTATTGACCTTGTGTGAACTGATGTCTTTTCTATGTAATTTGCAGATTTGTTTATGAAAATTGTCTAAGTATATATGGAGATGGTTTTGGCCTTCAAAAGTCAACAAAATGCTAATTTTTTAAATTTTCACAGTAGAAGTTTCAAATGCAAAGAACTTAAGCAACATGCTAGCTGTATAACATTTATGTCATTGTTTAGTTTATTTTTATTTTATGAAATAAAATCTGTCTGTTTTATCTCACAGTGAAAGCTGAGAAGAAAACAGTGCAGTTCAGTGATGAAGTTCAAGTAGAGACAATAGAACCTGAGCCTGAACCAGTTTATATTGATGAAGTAAGCATGATACAAGTACTGATTTTCAACTGCTGGTACCTTTATGTGATGTTTAGCTTTTTCATCCTGTACCTCAAAACCAATTTCAAATATCAGAAGAACATAATCAAAGCACAATGGGAAGGGAAAGTTGATTTAATTAAAAAAATGAAAAAAAATTAGCTGCAGTATTCTATTTTGTTCATGTGTCTTGAAGTTCTTGGGAATTTCTGGAACTGAATTTGGAAACTACATTCCATTTAGGGCCCTACTCCAGGATTGTACAGCTGTTCACCTCCAAACTATAAGCTTGGTTGGAGTGATGCATTTGCTTTCAAGTTTTGCTTTAAGTACTTCAGGATACCTCAGAGATACCCATCTTGAATGCTGGCTTAGATTTATTTCCAGTATAACCACCACTGTCTTCCCCTAGTCTGAAAGATCTCTGTTCTTCTCTGAAAACTGTGAGCTTTTTGTTGCTCTGTAAGTAGTATTTGGTGAGATTCGCACAGTCTCACTGCAGTGATTCTGCAAGGTTCCCAGGAACTCTCAGCCCAGGATGTTTTTCCCTGCTTTTTTTTTTGGTGGGTTTTTTTTTTTTTAGTTTTTCTCCCCCAGGGAGCTTAGAACTGTTCTCTTCAGAATTTTTCACTTTCTCTCTTATGACTTTCTAAAGTCTTATGACTTTTCACTTTCTGTCTTCCATTTCTTTCTCAACTAGGGTTCTCTCATTGTATTTTGAAAGGAAAAATCAGTTACTGCTTTCCTAAAGTCCTGTTTAACTCCTACCCCAAATGCTCTTCCTCCCAAGATATATAAGTTAGTTTGTAATCTGCTGAAATGGCTTATCTCAGGCCTGCCTTGAGGTGCCTTCCAGCTTTTGTCTTGTTATTCCACATGAGTTTATGTTTTAGTGTCTTGTTTTGGTTTTAAGATTATCATAGTATAATTTTTAAGGAAGAAGTTCATTTGGCTTCTTCCTGCCTTTCCTGGGGTTAAGGAGGAAAAAACATGGTTTTAGTTTCCACTTTGATATAACTCTGGCCTGTTAAAGGCTATTCATTTGATAGCACTCACTAAAAAGTGATTTTTAATTATTTACATGTAATGTTTGGTTAAGCAGTATAGGTCACTCCAAGACATACTTTTCAAAGAGTTTATGCCTGTTAATTTTTCACCCTTTTGTATTTTTATAAATGGCTTGCATTTAAACTGGTTAGTCAAGGATGACTTACTCTGAACTCAACCGTGTAACCCCTTCAAACATAACCTTAAAAAAACCCTTTCATATGTATTAGTAATGACATTGCTTATGTGCTGATAGGCCTCACACACTTAGAAAATGCAGGATAGTTTTTCAGTGAATTTAGTTTTAAGTACCCATTTCTTTTTGAAGTACTCTCTCAATGTATTCTGTCAAAACATTTAGACTAATCCCACTAGGTGGTAGTATTGCATATGTAATAACTAGAATGGAAAAATAGAAACTGCTCAGAAAATACTGTTTAGAAGACTTTTAGGAATAAAGGGGTATTCTGCACAGTCCACTTGTTACTACTAATGATTTTTTTTTCATTTGGCTTTTCCTTGTTCAAGCATCTTCATTCCTGTAAAGTAGCATGTATGATTTGTATTTTCTTAAAGTTAGTCTAGATGATTTCCAAGTCCTGAGAGGTCCAAATGGCTGTTGTAAATAGCTGCTTTAATTTACTATCCTGAAAGTGTTAATTCTCCCCGCTATGTATACCCTAATTACACAATTTGTGTTCTAGGATAAAATGGATCAACTCTTGCAGATGTTACAAAGTGCGGATCCATCTGATGACCAGCCAGACCTCCCAGAATTGCTTCATCTTGAGGGTAAGAAAATCTTCTTTGTTTTTTGTTGTTGTTTTCCTCTCTAGTTATTACCTATATCGAGCCAAATTGAAACTAAGTTGGAACTACTTCAGCTTCATGTGCACACCACAAGCATGCCTGAGAAACGTGCCTGAGCTGTAATTATCTTCTCACTTCCTGTTTCCCACATCTAAGAGACTGAAGTGCAAAATTTTAACTTAAAACAAGCCCACTCCTCTCTCAAGGAAACTATACTTCATATTCTTTTCCTTTTAAAGACCCAGGAATACTTAATTCAATCTTATTCATCCAATTTTTTTTTTTCCTCCATAGAGTAGCACAGCATGAGTTGCAGAAGGAGTGTAAGGAAGATTCTATGAGAGGAAGGAGAAATACTCCTGAGGCTTAGAATAGACCTGTGGGTGTCCCACATGCTTTTCACTTGCATGAGTATTTCTATAGGACCTTAATATTAGCAAATACCTTAGAGTGCTACAAATCAGACTAGTCCTTTACACTCAAATTATTCAGACTACCTCTTCAAAGAGGTATTATAGACCATTCTACCTGGGTTGATAGATGCAGCAAAAATTTTGGAAGGGGACTTTGGAGAAGGAAGTAAAGAAACTTACCCATTATTAGACAGAACAGTGACTTAAACTGACCATTCAGATAGGACCAGACTTTGTTAAGAAAATGGCAGATTCCAGATCTGCCTAGAAGTTACTCAGGAAAAAGTGCGTAAGCTTGTAAGCTTTTTGGGTATCTCCCACCTTTCCACACGCACCTGGTTCATCATACCTGTAACTGAATCCTGTTTTAGGAACTGCACATCAGTGACGTGTCTGCACGTATTGTAGTTCCACTAAAGCTAAAGGGGGTAACAAGCAGCATGAATGTTTTTATTCTTTCAAGTACCAAATATAGTTATAGAGGCTGTTGTCTAAGAAGTGGATTGCCTACATCTGGTCCAGGACAGAAGCAAAGGAATTAAAGGTATGCTTGTCAACCAACCTCCAGATATGGCTAACTTTAGGATCTCCTTTCAAATGCATTGTGAGATCATTAGAACAATGCTGAATTTAATATTAAACCATGGGACTACTCCTAGAATCTGAAAGCTGTAGTGTAGTCAGATGATTGCTCCCCAGCTGCCTACAAGAGGGTTTGCCAAACATATGGCTGTGTGTAGTTCTACAATGCCATATTCAAGACTGTACTTGTGCTACACTCCGTTAGGCCTTGGGTAGCTACTATTTTTGGCATACTTTCTGAGAATTTTGTTATAGATGTGTGTTGGATCTTGGGTTCCTACCAGTAGTGACAGATACTGATCAACGTTTGACAAAAACCCACTTCATTTTCCTCTGCCATCCAGACATCCAGTCACAAATGTCTTTAAATTGGAGAGCTCATCCCAACACTTTCAGGAGCCCAGGGTTTGTGGTTGGCAGCAGTACAGTCATCATGTTAGCGTACAGACAGCTAAGCAATCCTTCTCATGCCTTTTACCACACTTTGTGTTATACATAAAAATAGGCAGAACTTATACCAGGTTTTACATCTTTTCCCAGCATTTCTGCCAATGTGTTACTGATCCCAGGTTCAAAGAAGCAGATGGATGCCTTTCATACAACTCCTCTTTCACCTGGAGTTGCCTTCAAGGAACACATCAGTGATGCTTTTTCACCTCTCATGGCCCAGAGGCTTTCAGGACCTTCTGCATCTCTAATTTGGAAAAACTGGGAGGGAAGACAGTGTTCCAGAGCTGCTTATAATGCATTTAGGTCGTCTTTGATGCCTGAATTTTTCTTATCTCTCAGTTTGAATGTTGAGTGGCTTTTGGAATTAAACACATCTCTTGATTAGTAAATAGTTCGTTGCTTGGATAAGTGGGCATATTTTGCATTCTGGAATAGGGTTAGAGTGTAGTATCCCCTTTCAGCTTCCTTGTCTGTTTATTTTACATTTGACAAACTCTTGACTTTCTGTTAGTTAACTGCAGTTTGATTGGCAGTTACATGAACCCCATGTCTCTGTGCTGAAAGTTGGCAGGGGGCGCATTTTTGTTTATTTTAATGCTTTCTCATTCTACTTCTGGTAAGTTTTTGTGTTGGTTTTTGCATGCTTTTGAAAAAGCCCCCTTCCCTCAATTAGGATTCCGGTGAGATAGCAGTGTGCTATTAGTGTCTTTGATGTGCAGATGATTTAAATCATTGCAACCTGTTTTCCCCTTCATTGTTTTGTAGTAATGTTAGTTGAGCACATGATCTAGGTTGCAGTGGCAAATTTTTTTCCTCGAAGAAGAAATCACCGTTCAGATTTACCTGAAATTTTTTATCCAAAATAGTTTCAGTTGTACACTTCCTGGATGTGAAATGTGTTTTGTTTTGCTGTATTTTTATTTTCTTTTTAAAATATACTTTTTAAACTGTACCACTACTGAAAATTTCTGCTGGATCTCATTCTTAAATTGCTCATGACACTGCCTCTGTTACTATAACTTTTTTGGCATACAGATTATAGTAATGATTAAAAAAAAAATTGGACTAGCATCTACGCATTTTTGATAATTTTTTTAAAACTGCTTTCTGACTTGCAGTATGGAAATTTTTATTACTCTGATATATTTTAATGTCCTTCTATTCTAGCAATGTGCCACCAGATGGGACCTCTCATAGATGAAAAGTTGGAAGATATAGACAGGTAAAAAAGTACATGTGTTTTGACTCAAATTAAGATTCATTCTTAGAAAGACCACTGTTGTTACTTAATGAGATCTTAATAATTTCTGTGAATACTGGCAAAGAAAATAGGTGTATTTATTAGTTGCTTCTCATCTGGGAGGAGGTCTGAAGGGGTTTGTTTCCTAGTCACGTAATATTTTATAGTATTGTGCTGTTTGACATTATGGCACTTGTCAGGCATCACTTCACAGGCAGTAAGAGTATGTTGCTTATCACACCTCATGAAAGTTTCCCTGTATTGACTGTTCTGTACTGATCTAAATTGTAGAATAAGCTGTAAAATATATTTTCTAGGAAACATTCAGAACTTTCAGAGCTCAATGTTAAAGCAATGGAGGCCCTTTCTTTGTATAACAAATTGATGAATGAAGACCCGATGTACTCCATGTATGCAAAACTACAAAACCAACAGTATTATATGCAGTCATCTGGTGTTTCTGGCTCTCAGGTATGTATGAAACCTTTAATAGCCATCGACATTATCAAGTACATACTGAGCTATGGTTGATTTCTTAGAAATTATTAGTGATAAACACTTTTTCACGTGAGCTAACTTTTTTTACAAAACTTGCTCAAATACTGTTTTACAGAATACTTCTCTACATTACTAGAAGAAATATATATTGATATATAAAGTGTGGTGGAGCATGTTGATTGCAAGTAGTAATTTATTTCCTATTTCTGCCCTTCTGTTCCTCGCCCCTTACCCCCGAGTTGGAAACCTCTTTTTGTGATCTTTGTTACCTTAATGCTAGGTTGAAATCATCTTGTTCCCTCAGAGATAATGTCAAATGAAAGAGCACTGCTTTCTCTCAACAGAGTATGTAAAAATAATAGTTTGTTTTCAGCTGCAAGCTTTGAATATTCTCATTTTGCAGGTTCTAACACTTATAGTTCTTTTCTGTTCAATTCTTTTTGATCAAGGACAAAGCCCATCCTGTGCTTTGAGTTGCACATAAAATTAAAAATTAAAGCTGCCAGGCCTTTGCATAGTGGGTCAAAGAAAGTAAAGAACCAAAGGAGTACAATTCCTGTTTAAGATTATGCCTTCCCAACCCTAAAATCAATCTCTTCTTTTAGTTTCCTTTTTTTGAAATATCAGTGGAGAGCATTTAGCATTTAAATTACTGAAGGTAAAAATTTTAATTCTTTCATGGCAGCATTTCCATGTAATTGACTGTTATCTCTGAGTAGGTCTTTTAGCTTATTCATATACTGTGGTATTTTTAAAAGGTCTTTTAAACATTTAAATGTTTAATTCCATAGTCTAATGCACAGTTGCTGTATTCTTTTCCTGTTTATAGGATTGTGTAACATTTCAAACTGTTTTCAATAATTTACATGCTTTTTGAGTAAAAAAAAATTAAAGCCAAGTTATTAATACTTATGCAGTATTATATAAACATTGAGGCAGATTTAGTTCTTTTAGCTTCCTACAAATATGTACTTTCTTTCAGTGTTTTTGAAGAAGAGGGTGTGTGTTTTTGCAGTGTCATTAAGAGGAACACTGTCTTCCATTCATACATGATAAGCAGTCATATTGTGACACTATCAAATAATTCTAATGTTTTATAAATGGGCATGTGTCTGGGGATTCTTAAGGGGAAAGACTGGATTTTGGGGTGAAGATGAGCCAGTATAAAGTTCTGAAAAGTTAGGAGGTCTCATGCCTTTGTTGCCTTCTAAAATTCTTCTGCGAAATTGATAAGCCTTCCATGAATATGTCACCAGAAATTCATGGATCTTAAGATGGGAGGGCTGTATATCATAAACTTACATGAACTCAATTGTGCATGAGACCTGATAATTTCTTCTAGTAATTTGTGTTAAGCCAAATAATTCATGATTGAACAAAAGTGTAGGGCTTAGAAATTTGGTCTTGATTTAGAATACAGTTGACACTTCTACTAGCAAGCGTTTCCTCTAGTTAGGTGTAAAACATTACCTGATTTTTTTCAACTGAAATGTTCTTAAGACCTCTTTTTTTCCTTCTGCCCCACTCAAACAGTTTTACAATGGCAGTCTCAACAGGTACATGAAATGATAGGTTAACGAAAGACATGAAAACCATACATTATTGGCTTTCCATTTTAACGATTCTACTTAGTGAAAGTTATCTGGGCATCAAAAAGTATTCTGCTTTGGACTGCTATTTGTTAAATGATTTAAATCCTTCAGTATTTTCATTCAAAAGTAGAAGCTCTTAATTAGTATGAATGATAGCCATTAAAATAAAATTTGGCATACAAGTTTTCCAGTAAACTATTTGAATTTTTTGGTACTGGAGCCTGAAGTTAGAACTGTAAATACTATCCTTCGAAAATCTGCTAATTTTTTCATACTACAACACTTAATAGAAAACAATCAGTTGCTTTCTATTAAAACATGTGTAATAAAAGGTTTGAGAGACTGTCTTTAAGTTCTAAAGCCAGATATTAAATACCAAATTTTCTTGTGTTTTATTTTTACTATTCCTTTATTTAACTTCCTAGGTTTATCCGGGGCAACCTCAAAGTAGTGCATATTTGGTGGCAGGGAGTGCACAGATGGGCCATATTCAAGGCTACAATCTTCCTCCTGAACAACTCTCTTCTCTCAGCCAAGGCACAGTTACTCCATCTGCCAGCTCAGTACTGCCTGGTCAGCCTGCACAGACGTCTTACGCAAAGTAATTTTGAGTATTTTCATATTCAAGTTTAAATCAATTTAAGCATAAGGGACTACAGATAATTAAAGGAGGTTTTTTTACAGAAGTATAATTTTAAACACACCTGAAAGATACTTCAGTGCAATTATTTCTAGTGTGCTTTTCATTGGTGTTGTGTATTTGGTAAAAATTCCTGATAAACTCCAAACTTTTCTGTTGTTTTTATAATTTTCTCTAGTTTTTAATTTTATATAAAAGAAATATATAAATTTTTGTGTATGCATGTATTTCTTCTAATATAAAAGAAAAATTAGGGAAAATGATATAGATATGACTGATTTCCTCCCCCCCCAATAACTTAATATACATTTAATGATGAAGATTATCTGCTGCTCAGGCTGGCTTTGCATAACTTCTGAGATAGCGTTTATTGTATTGTTCTTTTTTTCAAATATCTTAACCATGGAAGCATGGGGAGAATTCTGCTCATTTTGGAAAAGAAGTAAATGGGCTATGCACACTTTCTACAGTTTATACAGCTTCCCCGTATAAAGGAGCTACAAGTGGCTGGCTGTTTTGGGTAGATGCCCCAAGATGCTTAGCCTTGGCTAAGCTACCTATATTGTGAAAAAGTTTTGAATTGACCTTAGGAAAAGATTAGGGTGTGTTGGTTGGGGGTTTTTTTGTTTGTTTGTTTGGTTGGGTTTTTTAACTCTCTGTATAAAGTAATTTTATTTTATAAAGTTGGGAGAGACATCCATCTTGAGTTATTAAAATATTTGTTAGTCTTTATCCCCCAAAGTTATTTATTTGGGGTGGTAAGACATATATTGATAAAGCAAGTTCCTGCATACTTCACCTGAGTTGTTTTGCTACTTAAAACAGTTGGCTGGGTTTTGGGGTTATTTTTCGTGAGCAGAATGGAAGATAGATGGGATTCCATGGTGCACATTAAATAAAACAAAGTCTAGAGTCACAGTCTAGTTTTAAATCCATGGGAGGTGTGGTAGGTGTGTTTAAATCTGAGGAGTGTGTTTGAGTTTTTATTGGAATATTCATTGGCTATAGTTTTAAATACGCAAGGTGTGCTGAGTTAGGAGATTTTTTTGTGTATATATAGAACAGCTGAAGAAGCAATAAAGTGTTGCTGTTCTGTTGGTAAATTGTTGGTTTTTTTTTTTTTTTTTTTTCCAGTGCAATGGTTGGCTCTGTTGCTGGAAATACATACTCTAACCAGGCTTCAGTGTATAGTCCACCACCTGCTACTGTTGATGTTGCTGCTTATCAGAATGCTGGAACTAATATGTCCCAGGTGCCAAACTATAATTTAGCATCTACACCTCTGCCACAGACAGCAGGCAGTCAACAAGCACCTCCACAACAACCGCAGCCTCCGCCACCTCAACAACCACAGCATAGTTACTCACAGAAGGCTCTGCTATAGGATCCAGGACTTCTGATTCCTAATCTTCTTTAACCTCTGCTAAAGGCAGTTGGCAATTCTGAGTTTCTTCCTTTAATCTCTTAAACTTTGTTTATCCTCAGCTTAATAAGAATCTATCTTGGTGAACAAGTTCAATTTGCACTGACTTTTTAGGATTTTTTTTTTCTTAATTTTGCAGAGGAATGGATATATTTAGGACATTTAATTCCTTTTAAAATGCCTAAAAATTGGTACAAGATTATTTATGTCTGGTAAAATTGGCTAGTCTGTGAAAACTCAACACTTGCAAACTGTTGTGACATATGTGTTATGTACATATAAGTGTGTGATTGCAATAGTGGTCATTTCGTGTAGCTATGGTGATCATGTGAATATATTTAACACAATGTTTAAAAATGATTTACTATTTTATTTTAATCATGAGCTGACAACCATGTTTCATACTTTTGTCTAGTTTTATGACAGATGTGATGTCTTTTTCCAATGCAGGAAAAGCAGTAATTCTGCATATCATGGTTACACTTACAAGCTAAGGTCTATATATGAATTTACAAACTTATCTGAGTCTAGGTTTCATTACTTCTTGAATTGAACACAAGTGTATCATGACTCTTAGATGGCTTATCTACCAAAGTAAACTAGTTAACTAGTAAGTGATTTGGGGGGATAACAGCAAATTATGATTCTGCTTCAGATACAATTAATAACTTAAAACTACTACTCAGAGGCTGCTAAACATATCATGGGACCATGCAACAGATCAGGATCTTGCATTTTATCATGAGAAGCATGTAATTTATTTTTTCCAAGTTGTTCTTTTACAATGAGAACCAGAACTGTATTCTATGTGTGTTGGTAGAGATTACACCAAAGACAGAGGAATTGAGTTGGAGGAGAAACGATGGAGTTTTAAACTGGAACACACAACATGAATTACACTACTTTATTCAAGTCTTCTTAATTAGAACATGGAGAATTATGGACATCTACATTACTTTGCTGAACAACCTTCAGGGCTTTATTTTATCTCTTGTGGCCTTGCTTAGCAATTTGTTCTGTTTACTGTTTTTACACAACCACTTCTGCCTTAAACATCTGTTTCAATTTCCAGTTGTACCATTTGAGTTTATTAGCCCTTCTATAGTCTGAATAGTTTATGAGGCATCTTATTTTCATTTCACTTTGAATTATCTTCTGCAGCAACATGCGTTAGCCTTTTTTAAATACTTGCATTTCTCAGTAACTTAGCCAGGTGGCTCTTTAAGGCATTGTATTTTCTTTCTACAGCTGAGGTGCTGCAAAAGGAACATGGTGATGGAAGACAGCCTTTTAAATATGGCTGATCAGAGTCTCTTGGACCAAGACTGTTGCTACTTTGCATTTGTGTTCAATCTACTAATGCATCCTGGTTTCCTCTTATCTTTTCCAGTGACTCTAATTCCTGCTAGAGCAATACTAGATGGTTTCAACATCAGATCTGTGTTTTGTCTTGTTAGTGTGTATGTCAGAAATCGTTTACTTTTCTGTACTATATTTTAGTGTGATGCTTCTGGAATTAAATGTTGCAATTGTACATTATACTGTAAGCTGACCTCAGTTATCCCATACACTCCTGCGTCTGTTCACAGTTACCTAACATGCCTTTGTTTCACTATTTTAATAGACACTGGTATTTTGTCTGTTAATGCTTTCAGATTCCTACTTTGCATAACTTCTAACTGGGATGGTTAAAAACGTGCCCATAGCTGATGTGTTCCAGTTGGGGATGTTCTAGGCAGCTGGCTGTTTTGATACTAGTATTTTCATGTTTTTTTTTTTTCCTGAGAATTCTTAAGCACCCTCTCAAACTGTCATTACTTTAGTACATGGTGTCATCACAAAAGTCTGTGGAATTTGAAAGGAAATACAAAAAAAAAAAAAGAATCCAAGATACTGTCATAGATCTTTTTTAAAAGATCGAAGAGATGATTTTCTTTAGAAAGGGCATGTAGTATCATTTAGATAGTGTTGTCTGTGTGCTTTAGGTACCTTATTCCAAAACCAGAGAAACAATGTGTATAGAGGTGTAGAAATTACACACAAAAGTGAAAATAACTTTTTACTCCATAGTTCTTAAGCCCTGATTCAAGGAGGAGCTTGAAGCATCAAAATGGTACAGCTGACATTGACTATTTGTATCCCTAGGTTTTTACATGTAGTGTCACATGCTCCCTAATAAGGGCCTACAGAACTTTACAGAAATGACTCAGCAAAAATACTTTTTGTTACTAATTTGTCTTTGATTTTAAAATTTTTGAAGTCTTCTTTCCTTAATCCTGGTTTCTCCTTTGACCACTGAAATGCATATCGTAAGTTTTTCCACCTTCCAACTTAGTTATTTTGGGCGTTTATCCATCTTAAGAAAATTAAAATCACCTTTCATTTGTGTTCATCGTGACCAGAAAAACACTTTTTAAAATGCAATGCCACTATAAATTCAGTATAATAAAAGTTTTGAAAGAAAGATGGACACCTTTTATTTTCCTTCATGCCTTTATTAGAGTCACTACTCTAAGGTGTCTCCTGTAAGAAATTGTGAGTTTTAGTTGACTTAGAATCAGTTTTCATTGTCCGCAGTGGGTGCAGTATCTCACTAGATTTTTAGGTTCAGAGTCTTAGCGTTTCTATTGCATCCTACATTTTCCATTTCAGATGCAATTTTCAGATTAAATTGAATTTGGAGCTGTATTGCTTCATGTTGATTTTTCTCATTTCTCAGAAGAGATTATTTCATCTCCTCACTTGGTTCTGTCCCATATGCTAGATACTCTAAAGTGATGCCGCCTCCTACTTTGCTAGATGCTGTCATTGCACTAATTCCTTCACTCATCCTCTCGTATGCTCTCTAACTGATAATTTAGCAACCATATTTCAACTCACCTCCTCTCAGCTGGTTTAGTGTCATGATCCTGGAGGTGCCATTACTGGGGCTTCTCTGCTGTGATTTATTCTGAGATTCCTCGTTTATGCATTGTTTTGACCAAGTTCATGTATGTTCTGTCTTACTATGGTATTGAACACTGAATATGGGTGAGAGGGGGAAAGTACATGTACAGCTACTGTATGGAAAAGCCTTTTAGCAAATGAATAAAGTGTCAGGAAGTTAATCTATTTGAAAGTTAAGAATTCCTGGAAATGACACATTATTCATGTTCCAATAGAAGACCTAATTTTTTAATGTCTTGTTTCTTTACATGTAAACTGTCAATGAAAGGCTAAAATGTTTTCATAATATTTTGTATAAACCTTTGTTATTTAACCCTTTCATTAAGGAAATGAAAATGTTAATTAACTCCAGAAGGGGTATTTTAGTGGCTTGTTTATAATGAACTGGAACAAACTCTGGAAAGTGCCTTCTGTGCATTTCACTTCTATAAACAAAGCTTGTTTACCCATGTGTATCATCTCAATTTATGTGGGCATAACAAAGATGTCAAGATTTACTGTCAAGCATCCCAGGAAAAGTACTGAGGCAGCATGTTAAAATTTGCCACACTGACGTCATGGCAGTATGTTCTAGAGTGTGCAGTTGCAGGAACAGTTGCAACATCTTTACCCACCTCTGTTTAGTAACTGGTACCCATGTAGATGTGTACTTAATGTCAGCTGCCAAAGCACATACAGACAGCAGTAAAACAACAGTAAAAAGGAACAAAATATAAGAATTACTGCATACTTCTCAGCAGGTGTGGAGCAGCGTATTGCACTCATGGTACAGTTACTATTCATGAATTTTGAGGGGACCTGAAATTAATTTGAGTAAACAGAGCTTCAGAGAATTCTGCCAGATTGCAACTGCTTAGATGTAACAAAGGAGATATATTTGCTTTTAATAGCATGTACGTATTTTGCTGATCAAATCTAGGCTGCTATTATAGTTCTCTGATTTCATCTAGATGGCAGGAACATCGGATTTACACTGGAGAACTGCTTAATACCTCATTCTCTGATTTTTTTTAAGTATTTTCTCTAATATCACTTACCTTATTTTTCACTCATATTTCAAAGATATCTGTGCAGTCTTTACGTATAAAGGTCTTACCTTATTCCTTGTCTGCTGGGTTTCACAGAAAGAATGAAAAAGAACATCTCTAATTACACCAGCTACGGTGGCACTTTGAATTACATGCTGCAGCTTCCTTTGGAGAACTGCATGTATCCGTTTTGAAGAACAAGGGAGCACAATTTTTCCAGTTAAAAATTAGGAGTTTTTTTTTAAAGAAAAAGGGTAAAGTAAAAGTTACAAACCCCTCCATTGCTACAAAAACCTTCATTGCTAACAGCAGGCAGAATCATTTTTTACTCTGTTATTCAATCTTAGTAAAGCTGACCAACTCCACACTACAGATACTACTTTTCCATTTTCAGCTGCAATGAAGAATATTAATCTTCGTCTGTATGCTATCCAACAGCATAGTAAAACATGGGAAGGCCTTGACATTGGAACTTTGCTTCAATATGTGAAAAACACTATGTACGTTTTTGAAGCCTTGTTTCTTAAATTAGGGTGTTTGTATTTAAAAACATTCCATTTGCCACTATGTAAAATTGCAGATCTAAAGTTCAATTTTCATGCTGCTACCTTGGCAAAAAGGTGGTAGGAGTTTTTGTTCTTCTATCCTGCATGTGCTTCTGGAAATCCAAATAATTTTTGTCTTTGTCATGAAAAAGAAAAGAAGCCTGCTGCAGTCTGCTTTGGTTTTAATAAAGTGTACACAGTAGCGAAGTGCATTTTTGGTTTTGTTTATTTTGATGCTCCCTTTGATGTTGGCATATGTATATATTTAGATATACTGCACTGTTGTACAAGAATTGTTTTAGTAAATAACACTATTTGTAAAAACTGTTAATTGTTTTTGGTATGAATGCAAAATATTAAAGTTGGAGTATTTAGTTCATTACGTTGCAAAGTCAATTTATAACTTAAATGGAAAAATAATCAGAAAAGGACCTCCTTTGCTGGAAGGACTTGGAGATGCAGTAGGCAAGGTCTGTCAGAAGTACTGAGCTCAAATTTTCTGATTTCAGGCAGGGTGGAGGTGGGTTTTTGTTTGTTCTGGGGGTTTTGTTGGTGGGGGTTTTTGTATGATGCTTACACATAGATTATATTATTTTTACCTTTAAAGTTTTTAATCTGTCATTAACTTCCTTCAGTTAAAATCCAAGTAATACATTGTACATTTTAT